CAAGGGCGTTCAGATGAGTTCGACATGCGGCGCGAGAGGCGCGCTTGGCAGAATTGGGTGACACTGTTTTTTACAACAACAAAAAAATGATGGTGTCCTTAAGAATTTGCACGAATGAACGCGCATGTTTTTTTCTGAAAACGGATGTTGCAAAAACATGTGATTTATATACATTCGGGACGGTCGTTTTTGGAACCCGTTCGAAGCTCAAGGGTTTTGAAGGATTACCGCATGCGCGCGCGACGACGCGAGCGCGCACTTCGCCCCAGCGTTTGTGAAGGATGTGTGCGACAACACGCGCGCATGACCGCTCGAACGTCGACATGCGCGCGCGAGAGACCCGCTTGGTAGCATGTCATGTAAAGTTGAAAAGCCAATGGCTTTCTTAAAGATCTGAGAGAGCGCGAGCGAAAGCATGTATGTAATATGACTTCGGAACACTCGTTGTTGGACTCTTTGCGGAAATCAACAGGTGTTGACACATTTCGGCATCATGCGCGCGACGACGCGCGCGAGCGCACCTCGTCCCATTCGTTGCAAAATGATTTTTGAGAACTGATGATTTTTGATGAACGAATGTGCGAGTATAACATTTTCTGCACAGGGTGAGAGGGGGGAACCGTTACCGGCCTGCCTGGGATGGTACGAATTCAAATTTCGGATGGGCGATGGGGCAGAATCATACGTAAATTTCAACAGGCAGCAGTGAGGCGGTTGAATCTGGGGGGGGCCGAACACTTTTCTGGGAATAATATTTGGTTGTTGTTCGCAGTGAGCTGACAACCCCACTGCTCGCGCAATCATCCCACCCACCCACCCACCCACATGCCCACCCACAACTTGGTTTGCAAAAACCTTGCGGGGGCGATTGCGATGTTTGCTGGGCGCTGGCTGGCGCGTCGCTGCGGCCGCGCTAGCTCGCGAAGGATCGCGCGCAGATCGGTCAGCTAGTCTGGCGCGACGGACGCGGCCGCAGTGGCGCTGACCGCCAGGGACTTCCCAGCACGTTTCGCAGGCCGCGTTGACGCGCGGGCACATCAGCACGAGTCGGCGACTCGGGCGGGCGCGGCATCATGGCGACGTCGAAAACAACAGACACGATGATGATAGTAGCGATGTTGGTCACGATGGTGACAATGACGACGGCAACGGCAATGACGGCGCCGATGCTGATCACGCCGATAACGATGATGGTGTCCTCGCGTCGGTGATGAAGCTGATGGAAGGATTTCGCCATGCGCGCGCGGCCGACGCTCGCGAGTGGCCCGCATGATACGCTTTAACATGAAACCGCGCCCCCCGAGCACGCAAGCAAGGGCGAACGAATGATTTCGAGATGCGCGCGCGAGGGGACCGCTTGGCCGCAGGTGGTGAACATGGTCAGAAACCAATGATTTGCGCAAGGTTTCGAAAGAGCGCGCGCACGTACCTTTTTGAAAACTCAGGTTGCACAACCATATGTCTTCACATGTGCTCTGAACACTCGGATTTTGAACCCCCTACGAAGCGC